AATCGCAAAAACAAGACTCCCGGCCGATACCCCTGTCCCCTTCTTTATCTTGTCTCGAAACCCCCCCCCCCTCTCCAACTGCATAGCGGAATCTGGACACCACCTCCTAACCACTGTCACCATTTATCGTCTCGAACTCCTTACTAGCACCCTTGTTCTCCTCCTCTATCCTGTCGCAATCCGTGCCGCCAGAGCTGTATCTGGGCACCCAATCACTGCCATCCTCCAGCCACACTGACTCCTCCACCTAGTACCCTTCCCCCCCACCACACGCTTCGTTCGTCAAACGCTGGGTAGCGCTACCCGCTGGGTACTGGTAACTCATCGCTCCAGCAAATGTGCTAAGCGATGACAGCGTCGCCGCGAAATATCGTTGGCAGAGAGGCTAGAGTAACGGCCGAGCCGAGGAATAGTAGTTGCTTGTCCACCTCCTTCGACCTCCCATCGATTGTGTTTGTGATGCTTTTCGTAGTGGTGTCAGCTACACGTATTTGTTGTGGTGAGGTTAGCTTTATGATTGGAGGTTTCTCTGTGGTTCCGGGGGTTCCCCGTGATTCTGAGCGTTTTGTCCTGTTGCTTGACTCAGCGGTATATACCAATTTACCATCGAAATGAATGAACAGCTCGAGAGCATACTATGGTGCTTACAAATCTGGAATCTTCGCGCAGCAAGATATACTTCGCTGCTCACCTCCTCTCGCGCATCCTGTGATAGTTGACAAAGTGTAACCCCATAATTCCACTTATTTCCCTCCATTAATTTTCCCTATATAAACCCCTTCCAAAAACCCAAGTTCTTAGTCTCGGAATCAACACACGTCACTAGTCTGACACGTCCTGCCACAACTAACGCTACTACTAACTGCCCGCCTTCAACACGACTATCGTCTCCCTTCTGCTCAATAGCTTGTGCGGCGCCTCGGCTCGTCTTTTTATTTAAAGTGAAGCTTTTGTTGGAGAATAAAGTACTGGCACTGTTCGCTGTCTTCCGCTGCTGCAGTCAAAGACCACGTGGGAACCTGGAAAAAGTCAGAGCCCTCCCCCGTCCCCCTTTTATATGAGAGGCGGAAGCACTCGGGAGTAATCCGTGTGGTAGACACCAGCTGGGAGGCCCCCCCCCCTCTTTCAGGAGTGGCTTACAGGCAAGTTGGTGAGGTATTTAAACTCCCAGACATATGCCAGTACCAATTTACCATCGAAACGAATGAAAGAATCATCGTAGAGGGATTGGTTGCCTCACTGGTCCACTTTTCTGCGCAACAGCAATCACTTCCCAATGTGCCGTACCTGCTCGAATGCCATAGTGCAGAATAACTCGCGCACCGATTCAGTGTTTTGTGGCAATCATGCGTTTTTTGTAGCTATGCAATGCAGAAAGCGCATACTGACAAAGGATTGTCTGTGTGTCCGTGTGTTTGTGTGTGCGTCTGTACTGATTTTTCATCTCACCATCTATAAAAGCTACGGGGCTGGAATTTTGGGAATTTAATCTGCATGCACGTGCGGACCCCAACCCCCAAAATGGGCGCCCTTACGCTCGTGGTGCCCACGTACGAGCCCGCCAAAATTTTTTTCGGGTAAGTTGCTAACTCGAGAACCAGAAATGCTGGAAGGCTGAAAATTTAAGGGGACGTTTCCCATCCAAGTGGGTATTAATGAGCTCAGACCCTGCCCGCGAGTAAGCGTGGTACCTACGTACGGTGCGTAGAGGTTTTTTCCGGGTAAGTTGCTAACTCGGGAACGTGAGAAGCTAGAAGATTGGAATTTTGAAGGGATGTTCCTGACAGTCCTGGCGGCCAGTCTGAAATTCTTTTAGCTAAAAGAATCTGCCGGAAAAACTAGTGCCGTTAGCGACAAAAATCTGCGGGAAGCTGTGCATCTTCGCACGGGCAGCCTGTGCGTTGGCTAATTATTTGTACTTGCAATGTGCTATTTTCAGTATCATGGCAACGCAGGATCATGATGAGGCAGCGCTTGCCGAGTTGAAAAAGAAACGAACGTTCAGGAAATTCACTTACCGTGGTGTCGATTTGGACCAGCTTCTCGACTTGGATCGGTATGTCATCGGATACTTACTTCCCTCCTTTTCCCTCCATTAATTTTTCCTATATAAACCCTTTCATCGGATATCTGTGCTTGTCTTCACTTGGCACTTCTGCAGTTTACTCAGCTTGCTAATCGTTTTTTACACGCTTCGTCCTTCGCTCCTTCGTCTTCTCGGGATCTACTTTCGTCAGTGGTCAACGTTTGCATACGTATGTCGTTGCCTTCAACACATTGTATGAAAACAAAGAAAAAAAAAGAGAAAAAAAAAAAACGGGCAGCAGGTTTTTATTTTTCCTGCTGCAGTCGGGAAAAAAATAAGCGATTTTCGTAAAAAAAGCCCATGGAGACCAGTTTTCTCGTCAGCTTTTTTGGACTTTCACGAAAAATATCTGGACAATTGGGGTTGCCGTCGTGGAATGGCCAATTCCATGAAAAGAATGTAATTCGGGAGGAATTAGGGCTGATCCTTTATGTGTTTTAGCCGTTTGGGCTTTGTGTTGCTTGTTCGTTGTACGCGACATAACGGGGATAAAGGGATTTCGCCTGTCGCCTTTTGGATTTGGCTGCCACTTTTGGATTTCGCCTGCGCCTGAGGATTTTGCCTGTCGCCTTAGGAAAGCCCCGGCATTCGAGTCAGCGTGGGAATCCCAATCCATGTCCGATTCTGCCGTCTGTTTGTACAGTTTAGGGATGAAACACAGACTGGACAACAGCTAATGCACATACAGGCTCGCTTATCTAGGTATCTGAATTAGCACTCACTGCTTTCTCACAGTTGACAATATTCGACTGTATCCTTTTCATCGGCTGGCCTGCAGCACCAAACAAACATCCATAGTTTACATTTTTCAAAAATTTGCAAAACACTTAGTGATGCAACTGAATGATGTTTCCCACTCCTACCCGCGTAGGCATATGGTTCGGTCTGTGTGTTTACAGGTAAGGGATGAAACACAGGGTGACTGCGTCATAAAATTTCTTCATACACACATGATATTCAAATGAAATCCTTCAATTCTTCTATTTCTACAGAGCTCATTTCCCCGCAACACAGGAAAATTTTGGTAAAAAAGAAGCCTGTTTTTTTTTTCAGTGTGCAACTTGCGAAATTATTACCATGCCGTGCACGTCGACGTGTAACACGTGGCCTTAAGCGAAAGCATTTGTCACTTCTGAATCGCCTGCGAAAAGCCAAAAAGGAGGCTGGCATGCATGAGAAGCCGGCCGTAATTAAGACGCATCTGCGCGATATGATTGTTTTACCCGAAATGGTCGGCTCAGTGGTTGGTGTATACAACGGCAAAGTATTCAATCAGGTAGCACCATTTTTTGGCATTTTTCCAATAATACTACACACTTTTGCGATTATACTTTTCACTGCTCTTACCAGCTCGCAGGGAAGTGCAGTTTGTGAACGAGTGCATTTTGCGGATTTCAGTAGTTGCCATCTCGGAACTGAGGTGTAATGCTTTGCTGCCCGCGTCGATTTCAGTGTCTGCAGGTCATTTTAGTAACGCATTTATAGGGGGACGGATTTTGTTTGGAAAGGCGCTAGAAGAGATGAAACTGTTCGGTGTATTGCTTTAAATTTCCAGTGTACGCACAGAGCACTCTGGGCCATGCCTCGCTACAGCATGGCCTTTTTTGGACTGTGCAAAATCAGTGTGTTGTACGGAAACTGGTCTCGAAATGGAATAATTATTTTTGAGACTCAAAAATCATCACCACATTTCAGCTAATTGTTGTGGCGTAGCGCATATATCAGTGCATATATTCTTAGGTTAATACAACAGGTTCCCAGGCAAGAATAATGCACAAAAGACTTATGGACCAGGCGAGTAAATTTGAGGGAGGGGGGGGGGGCTACGTAAGGAGAAGAGCAGTACTGAGGTACTAAAGAGGTCAGAATGAGTTTAAAATCTGTGTGTTTAGGGAATACCTAGCGTTGTTTTACTACTACTTCTGGATCATTCTTCCTGATGACATATTGATGATTCTTGCTGAAGGAATCCTCCTTCGGCACCCTCAAAAGCCATCAGCAACGGATCCCATCCTTCCCAGCACTAAAAACCTGAAAAGCTAGAAAACTGAAATTTTAAGGGGATGTTCCTCGTCCACGCAGATGTTAATGAGCTTTAACCCAGGCACCAAGGTATGTGAAGTACTCAAGTACGGACCCGTGAAGCACCCGGGTCGTTTCGCAGGGAGCATTCTCCGAGGAAACTGGCCGAACGTTTTTCGCTTGTTAAAAGTGTCGCTGATCTGGTTTTTTTTTGGCTGATAGAAAAAAGCGACAAGTATTTTTATTTGACGCTAGCACTGTGCTGTCTTCTTGATTCCCCGACATTTTTTATCACGGATGATATACGTTTTTCAATAGTTGGAATGTTTCTCAGTACCAACGCTTCTCATAGAAAGATTTTGACTTTTGATTTTGGTGCGTTTGTTGAAGAATCGTGATACTTTATCATGAAACATTGTGATACTTTACCATGTGACATTGTGATACTTTATCATCGTGATACTTTATCATTTGACATTGTGATTAGTATGGTTATCATAAGAATGTTGTTACGATTTTGTTCCCCTGTGATGGAGATAGGCAGTTACTGTATTTGTTATGGCTAATGTAAAGAAACCGTATGGGTTGACATATAAAAATACTTGTTCCTAATCTGAATGCTTTTTTTTTTCAGGTAGAAATCAAGCCGGAGATGATCGGTCATTATCTGGGCGAATTTGCGATCACGTACAAGCCTGTGAAGCACGGTCGACCAGGTATCGGAGCAACACATTCCTCGCGTTTCATCCCACTCAAATGATCAAAAGAAATGTGTTATGCTGTTGTTTTTATTTTTGTTAAAAAAATAAACTAAGTTTTTCTTTTCTGTCGAAATACACACATTCAGTGAAGTACCGCCTATCTATGCTTGCAGTATGCACAAATCCCGCTGTCCTGCAGCAGTTTGGAACAACATTTTCCCGCAACATATCATGGTCAGCTTCATAAGCAACACCCAAAAGAACTAGTGACCGTCTGTTCAGTACATTTCGTCAGTAAACCCCAGCATATTCTAAGCAATAGGGATAATTCTTATTCGCTGCCAAACGGTTGTAAGTGCGATTCGAAAAGAACCGATTACTACGAAAATACCGAAAATTAGTCAAAATGGTCTCAATCCGTGGTTGCGTGAGAACGTCTCAGAGCCCGGTGCTGAACTGGCCAACTTTTACGTGATGTTTCAGAGTTGAACAAAAGAAAAAATAGGGAAGAGTTTATTTTTTATTAAAATTTGCAATTGGTTTAAGTGAATTGCTGAAAAGAGTAATATGCAGGCGGTGATGCGGCACTGAAAATCTAGCAGTTCCTACCAAAAAGTTACTGAGACTGATTGCCCGGGCAGTCTTAGTAGTTTTGATCTTGCCATATCAAACATTTGATTTTCAGCTGCGGAGAGTGAAATTCTTGAAAATTTATTGGCATTTATTATTACAGTAAGAACAAGTAAGAGAAAGACAGGAAACTAATGAGCTGTCCAAGATTTTTTAAAAAAAAGTATAATATTTAAAGAGGATATAATCACATCGCTGCTGGACGTTTGTGAATCTTCTTATGTTTTTCCAGATTACCGAAATTAGAAAAGTTTTTGTTACAAAATTCGCAGGTGCGCGGCTTTTCATCGGTGTGTGTTCGCATATGACGTTGACAACTGCCAGTCTGAGAGAATCCTTTGCTACACAAGTTGCATTTGAACGGTCGCTCCCCCGTATGCACTCGCATATGTGCGATCAAATCGCTATTGCTAACGCATTTTCGGGAACAAACGTTACATACGTAGGGCGATTCCACGTTGTGGAATCGCAGACGGTGATTAAGTAAGCTACGAGTATTTCCCAATTGTTTTCCACATTCCGGGCACTGTATTCCTGCGTTGGCTGATTTCGGAAATATCGATGCATTCATGCTCGCGTTACTGATGGAAGGTTTTTCATCAAAACTTGGGGATGTTTTTGCGCCTCCCTGAAACTGACCAGCGTTTCCCACATTGTACTGCTGCTTTTCTGGAGGAATCGTAGTGTTCTTTGGCACTGACAAATCGAGCGGCTGATCCTGCAAAACTCACAGTAACAGTATTGTTGAATGGTACT